ACAGAGTGCCTTGAAATGGGCTTGCCCTCACACTGGAATCTCACCCAGGATGGCTCACAGACAAAAATAAGAAATTGAGTTGCTTCCAACTTCGAATAGGTTTCTGGCTTCAGAGGCAAACTCTGAACTGGTGAATGCAGCTCAGAGACCTCTACTTCAGAGTCAGTTGCTTTTTCTGAGATTCATGTAAGATATGAGGTAAGAGCATACAATGTGCATGTAAACAAGCTGAGTAAGAGCTCTTGATAGTAGGCCATCAAGAGATGGGGCTGCTGCCACCCCTCCCTTCACTACCATAGATAAATAAGAAAGCAAGAGATCAATGCAGGGGCCTCCCTGGAGATTCTATCTGAGGCCTGGAACTGTTTTCTTCTGTCTTTGTGGGTGTTTACACACTTGCTCTGAAACCTCTAGGGAACAAAACAAAAACGGAATAGAGCCTAACTCATATTTCTAAGACTTTATTTTTGGGATACTGGAGTTTGAGCTCAGGGTCTTCACACTGAGCTACATCCAAGCCTTTTTTAATTTTTTATTGTGCAATAAGTTCTCACAGAATTGATAAGTTGCCCAGCCTTGGCTCAAATTCTCAGTCCTCTTGCCTCAGCCTTCCAGAGTGCTAAGATTATAGGTATGAGATTACTCTAATGTTTCTCATAGGAAGTGTAACTTTTCCTGGTGCTGAGATGTGAGATTTCTTCCCTGAGTCCTCATAAAAAGAATACAGCTCAATTAGAATAAGGCTCCAAAGTGAGCAACCAAAACCCAAAATAGTAGCAATTGATTAAGTAGAATTTTCTAAGTCAGTAAAAGAAGTTCAGACTAGAAGATCTCTTCTTGATGGGTATCATTAACTCAGAACTTTGTGTACTGTCTCCTTATCTCATTCACCAGCCAAATGTCTCCAAGGACACACCCTTACCCTTTAAAGATACATTATGGAAGTTGTGGTTATCTCTGATTACATTCCTCTGGCCGGATCCTAACCATGTAGCCATACCTCACCACAGGAAGCCTAATAAAATAGTCTTTCTTCCAAGAATGGATAAAAGTGGGAATTCTGATTACTAAATAGAAGGATGGTATATTTGTTTGTTCAATACCATCACAAAATGCCACCGGGTAGGTGGCTTCAGAACACAAATTTACTTTCTCACGTTCTGGAGGCTTAAAGTCCAAGACTAACTTCCTTTGTGACCTTTCTCAGTTTGTGTCTTCATCCTTATGTGGCCTTTCTCTGTGCTTCTGTGACCTTTGGCTTCTCTCTGTGTGTCCTAATCTCTACTTCTTATATGGACACCAGTCAGATTGGACTGGAACCCACTCTAATAGCCTCACTTAAATTTAATTACACAGGGGCTGGGGATTTAGCTTAGTGGCATAAGCACCTGCCTTGCAAGCAGGCGGTCGTGAGTTCGATCCCCAGTACCAATAAAAAGTTAAAAAAAAAATTTAATTACACCATCTCCAAATATAGCCACATTCTGAAGGACTGGGGGTTAGGGTTTTAACATATGAATTTTAAGGAGACAGAATCAGGTCAGTTCATAATAGGTAGAAATAGATACTGGAGGAATGCTGCTGCTTGCTGCCTTCTGCCTACCACACCATGGACTGTTTCTCTTCCTGCCACCCTGTCTTGCAGCCAACAGACTGCGGACTAAGTCCTCTACTAACTGTAAGCCAAAATAAGACTTTCCTCCTTTAAATAAAAAACATACTGCAATACAACTGGAACTGTATCTCCATATAACCTACCAGCATCCCTGTAAGTGGATCAGTAGTAAATGCTTTAGAGTCATCTGTTTTGTTTCCCATTTTAAATCTAAGACCCTTGAAAGCCAGAATCCCAGAATTAAGCAGATGGCTTTGCACCTGAGGGTGATCAGTGGAGGCTTGTGGATGATGATGTGAGATGGCCAAGAAAACACAACCTGGGCAGAAGCAGGACTCCTGATTCTCTGCCACCTGCTCTCCCACAATACTGTAAGGTTTGACAGTGAGCACACTGCCCACCACATGGAAACCTAAAATCAAGATTTTCATCTGATTCTCCATACCAGAGATTACAAGGCCCTAAAGCAGTTGTCCCTGGATTTTTGCATAATTCCAGGGCTTCTGCCGGGACCCTGGTAGACATCAAAGTATTTTAAACTCTTATCTCAAAGTCACTTGAATTGTTTCTGTATTACAGCTATATCTGAAGTTGCAGGATGTAAAATGAGTTGGTGCAAGGTCAGAACCAGCATGCTACAGTTCTGCAAGAATGGAAAATCATTGTCCATTGGGATTGAGACTGATGAACACATTGGCATCCCTAGCCTGGGCAAAGCAAAGTGGGCTCTCAACTTGGAACAATATTTTTTTTTTTGCTTCTCTAATCAGCTTGCAAACTGTTGCCCATTCAGCAGAGTAAGAATTGAATTGGCAAAACATAAAGGAAATTTCTCCCAAAGTATGCTGACAGTCTTGCTCTTGGGGCGGTGCTTAAATCCACACCAGGAGTCTAGGCTCATGTACTTCCCTACAGAGGAATCCCTCCACAGAGACACTGTTTGCATGACCTAAGACGCATCTCTTCTTTTAGTCCTTCTCTGCCCCAACAACAACCACCTCAAACACAACTTTTGGGAGCTTTACAGCATAGCTAATTGTTTGCATTGGACAGTACTGTGTTTAGAGAATATATATCTAAACAGACCATTATTTTCTGCTATTTGTTAGTGGCACTGCCTGCCTGGTGACTTTGGCAGATGGAGAAAGGAGCTAATCCGTAGGTTATAAGCAGAAGGGTTATTGATGAAATGTCACCATCTGTTGATGTCATTAAAATGATATGAGTCGTAAAGAGTTGCTTTTGGTTTTGGGTTATTTTTTTCTCCCCCTCAAAAAAGGTTAGCTTAGAGTTTACAGAAAAGTTGCTAGATTGTGGATGACAGAGGGGACAAAGCAAGGAGAGGTCGCCCTGGAAAGGGAAGGAATCTAATTACTCATGAGATCAGTTTACTGGATCTTCAGGGAGGTGGATAGTCTGCTGGAATAAAACCACCTATTCGTGCAAGAGGAGGTGTTTATTAGGAATGATGTAGCACCTCAACTCTCTGATGCCCATTTCTGGCTCATCTATGGAGGTGTTGGTGGGGAGTGATTCCCTTGACTCAGCAGATCATATCATATCTGCAAGGGAACTCTTAAAATGTACTTGTCTCATTAACCCTTGTCGGCTCCATGACACACAGATTATTATTCCATCAGCTGACACCTTGGGAGGCAGCAAGCCCAGAAGGAATGAATGATTTTCCCTGTTGATTCTCCTCTGAGGAGAATGGAATGTCCTCCTCTGAGGACATGGAGATCCCTGGAACAAGGACAAAGTGTGCATACACCCACGCTTCCATCAGGGCTGGAAGCCCTCCAGCCAGAGAGAAGATAGCCGTGGATAGATTAGCATGTACATTGCATTAGCAAGGGGCCAGACCACGTGAAACGTGAATTTAATGAGGATCCATGGACCAAAATCCTCTGTGCCACCCTATTAATTCTACTTGTTTATCTAATCCTCTTAATTTCCTAATATTTGCAGTTTATCAACTCCTTTATCCACTGCCAAGGACCTCACATTTAAAACAGAACTTGTAATACTAACCATTTTCATTATAGCCTTAGATCCCTTTCTTATTATTATTTTTAGTCTTAACTCTAACTCTTGGACAGAGATGAAGAATGAGTGATGTGTGAACCACTACAAATCCTTCTGTCCACCCCTTAGGTTTGCCAAATACAGTGCTGCTCCAAGTCATGCCCTTACTTACCGTCTGACCTCAGTTTTCCCCTCCTGCCACCACTTGGGGACATAGTTGCTAGAAGGGTCACTGCTACTGCATGGAAAGTGCATAGTGCTGGAAGCAAAAGTGGCAGGGGACAGGAGCTTCCTGAAGCCTGTGCAGACTGTTTCCAAGGTCTCAAAAGGAAACCTTGGTGGAAAAGTTCCTGTCGATATTTTTAGATCTGCTGCTCTGTCCTGCTGCTACACTTTCATTTTTAAACAAGCAGGGAAGGGAGTGATTGATGGTGTCTGCCGTGCTGTTCTGGAGGCTCAGAGGGCCCATCTGACAGGCTAATGGTCATCCTGCCGGGCCCAGAGCCTCCTTTCATCTCTTCTGGTGCTGGGACTGTGGAAGCTGCCAACTGCAGAGGCTGGCAAATAAAACTCTGGCTGCATGCTGCCAAATCAGACTGGGAAGTTTACACCCGACTCGGGCCCTGCACAGGGTCAGCGTCTTGCTCAACTTCCGCCATCTGTTTCTCTGAGGAATGAGGAATGTGTTTTTGCATAATAAGCTTTTGGCTGCAAGTAAAATAGTTTAAAATTCAACAAGCTGATAAAGCAGGTTAAAAACACATACCCACGCAAAAAAAAAAAAAAAAAAAAAAAAAAAAAAAAAATCATTGAATTTATTCCTAGGCCAGAGGGAGGGAGTAGAGCCCTCTCCAGATTATTATAGAATTGTTTCTGCACTGATTTTTTTCACTTTTCTGCCAAAAATCAGTGCTCTACAAAAAACAAAAGAAAGTTTGTTTCATCAGCACCCTCCCTCCCAGAATTCCAAATCCCTTGACAGAGTCCTCAGGGTAGAGGAGGAAGGAGACAGGGGCTCCTCTCTGTTGCTCTGTAGACACAATTTTTCATAAGTTCATGAATAGTAACTATAGCCCAAGGTGAATAATCAACTGATAAAAGTGAGAAACTGGAGAATGTTCAAGGAGAGAAGAAAATCCTGCAGTGCTCATATCTGAGCACTTTACTACTTGGTCCTGGGCCCCTAATGTGACAGATAGGCATGCCTTATAACCCTAGAAAGCACATTATGAAGCAACTGTATGGCTCAGGAAAGATCCTGATGTATCTGGAGCTTCCAGGCCCCGCCATGTGGTCTTTCTGCTTGGCTTGTATCACTGTCTTCACTGTTTTGTGTTGTGTTTGTTCTCTCATTCTGCAGCAGGCCACAGGGACAGCTGAGGAAGAAGACGACCAACCCCTCAGCCTGTCCTGGCCTTCCAACACCCGCAAGCAGGTCACATTCCTGATTGTCCTCCCTATAGTGTTTCCTCTCTGGATCACCTTACCTGATGTTCGCAAGCCTGTAAGTAAAGTATTTTTTTTAAATTTTATTTAAAAGGAAAAAGAGAAAAAACAAAACAAAACAAAGCAGTATAAGGGTACAATTAATACAGAACTACAAAAAAAAAAAAGTAAGAAATCACCAGTTAATAGATTACAATTATCATGCTAGAGACAGTTGTTCAAGTCACAGTATCAAAGCATACAAAGTGGACATTCAAACAGTGAGACTGCAAACAGTTGTGTTCAATGATCCAACCAAAAACATTAATATGGGCATCTATTTAACACCCCTAAACACACTTGCAGTTGTATACTTTGGAGCATTTTTTTTCCTCTCTTTTTTACAACAAAATTTACACATTTTGGGTTTTATTACTCCTTAGTTCTTTTTACTTTTTTTGTTTTTGGAAGAGAATAAAGTCAAATATGGCAAAACAAAGCTGTCAGTCAAAACCAAGGATAGACATACCACATAATGTAAAAACAGAGTACAAGGTTATCGACAATGGTTACCATAATGCCTCTTGCTTCCTTAAAAAGAATTGTCTATCTCATTAGGTATTGTAAAGTTGAACAAAACAGTAGAGAACAAGACCAATGTAAAGTATTTTTGAAACAGGTTTCCAGCATAGTCTGCTCTCGTTTGTGTAAAGGGAAGGTGACAAGGAAACCTGTGTGTTGTGTATGACTGAAACTTCTGTGGACACAAGATCCAGGCTATCAAACTGTATAACAAACTGCCTATTTAGTATGAAAGAACCACATATCTTGTAGATAGGAACTGGAGGAGAACACATTGGAGGATGGTTTCTGCTCTACAGTGTTTGGAACCTCAGCTGGGAAGACTTGCAGTCCTGAGGGTGACTCATGGCTGGGGCTACAGCCATCTGGATGGTTCAGAACCTGGGCAAGAATGTTTCAAAGGCTGGGCTTGTCTTCTGCTGCACTTACGTGTGGCCTCTTCATGTGATTTGGGCTTCCTCACAGCATGGTGGCCTCAGGATTGTCAGAATGTCTTACATAAGAGGTCACAGTTCTAAGAGGGAGCCTTTCAGTGGGGAAAGGAAGAGGCAGCATAGTCTTGATATCCTAGTGTGAGAAATTTCAGTCACTTCTACTCTGCTCTACTGGCCAAAGCAGTCATGAGCCTGTTGTTATTAAAGTAGAGGAGGAAAAGTTGACATAGAACACATCATGTCACACAGTATGTGACTGTCTTGATGGTAAGAGTATGCAAGAATCTGCAATCACATTTTAAAACTACCACAGTGATTATCTCTGAGACATGCAACTAAAAGTCTGACTAGGAGCACAACTCACTTTTCCTTGAATTTTCTTTCGGTATATATGCATGGATTATTCACTTAATTGAAAAATTAATTTGAAAAAGTAATTAAATTAAATTTGTGTAGTGAAAATGCCTATCTGTCTGCCTGCCTTACCTCTATGTCTATATGCCTTATCTATATGTCTACATGTCTTATCTTCTCCCTCCCGTATTATTATCACTACCATATGTCAGATTCCACACTAGGTATTTCTGATAAATTATACTGTGGAATCTCTTATCTAATACTTGCATATATCTGCTGTTGGCCTAAGTAGAAGGAAACTTAGATACAAAGAAGTTGGCTAACATATGCTCACTCTTTAAGAGGTTGGAGCTGAGACTCAGTCCTAGGTCTGACCAAGTGACTTCTCTTCATATTTCTTGATATCAAAAAGTAATCATCTGAAAAACTCACTTTAAAAGCATTTGGAAAAGAATATTATGATAATATCCACCATAATTTAACATGAGCCTTCAAGAGTTCACAGATGATCCTGCATCCTCATTTAGAAAAAAAAGAGAAATCACATCCTATTAACCTGGCCTATAAATAAATAATTCCACCAGATGAAGAACCATTTAGACACCAGGAAAGGGCTTGTTTGAGGAAGAATTGCAAAAATGAAGAGATTTTCTTATAAAGGATGCATGTAATAGATGTGGCTAAATTAAGACCATATTTAGGTTTCTTTATTCAAAGTACAACTGTAGTACACCTGCTCTGTACAGAAGCCTGGCCTGCTAAAAACCCACAAACAAGTAGCTCTATATGGCTCTCCCCTTCCACTTGACTCCAGTATCTCCCTTTCTAAAATCTCTCTCCCTCCCTCCCTCCTTCCCTCCCTCTCCTTCTCCCTCTCCCTCCCTCTGTCCTATTTCTATCTCTGTATTTTCCTCTTCTATGCTGTTTAACCTGATGCTTCTGTTCACCCTGAACTCTGTTTTTACCCACAGAAGGTCTGGTGCTATGTGGCCCAGAGGAGAGAGAGCTACCAGGCTGCAAAGGTTAGCACAGGACCGCTGAGGCAGTCAGCATAGTGGGAGGACGATACCAACAGCTTAAGGGCCTAGGTCCTCAGATTGAGTAAGACCCTTAGAATACAGGCTGGCAATGTGATTGCCCTGTCTTGAGCTGAAAGGTCAAGGAAGCTGATAAAATTGAAAGTTCCCAAACACTTCCTGGGAAACAGATAGAAATCAACTAGGGAAGTACTTATCTGGACAATGTAAACTGTTCTGGCTGATTCTGTAATACTACGGGCCACAAAATAGCAAAATGGAGCTGCCCATGGTGTTCTCCTCTACAGCACCAAGGCCTTGTTGTTCACTGTACAGTTCAGCCTCGAAGGCCAGGCCTGCAGCAGGGGGAGGGCAACTAATGGGGCCCTCCTGCATGGCTTTCCCAAGAGCCAGCCGCAGGATGGATTGGAGGTTTTTTCTGTCATTTTCTGATTATACTTTGTGCTGTTTTAAGCAGAAATTATAGTCTTATAAAGAATATTTGGTTGTTTTAAAATTTTCCTCAAATATTTACTGAGAATATGCTAAGTACAGAGACTTGGGCCCTCAGAAAAATATGAAGAAACAGAATTTACAATTTCAATCTTACAGAAACCCTAAAAAGAAACAAAGCATGCCCACATATAACTGTAGCTACAAGGCAAGATCATACTTCTGTATTAGTAAGAGGAACTGGACTTGGACCAGGTCTCATGACTACCACATTGATCACAGTGATTTTTCCCTAATTTATAAGTTGTGCAACCTTGGGAAAAAACCACTTCTCAATCCTGTATTACATTTTTCCTCTACCATAATTAAAGGATTGGAAGATCTGTAGACTCCTGCCATGACATTCTGTGATAAATAAAAAGAAAACTACCAAATACAATATTGCAAATTTAAGATGAGCACACATCCAATTTGCCCAGAGAGTCCCAACCTATGTGCAAAGCGTATCGTTTGGAAAACAAATTAGTGCATCTTCTATATAAATGATATGCCAAATGAAGAGCTTTTACCACTTGGTACAAAAGCCATTAAGACTCTTCTTGATCATGCTTAGTACTCAAGGGTTTCATTAGACTTGTTTTGTGTTAGTTGTCTTTTGCTGTATAAGACCACCCCACGCTTGCTGACTTGAAACAACATGCATATTTTTAGTCCATAGTTTTGTAAATTGGAAGTTTTGGTTAGGCTCAACCAAACAGTTCTGCTTGGGGAATGATGAGCACAGGGCCATCTCAGCTAGACCAGCTTTACTGTGCTCCACGCGGTCTTGAATCCTTGAGCAGGCTACCTGGACTTAGTCACAGGATGGAAGAGTGACAAGAGCAGCAAGAATGAAAACTACCAAGTCCTTGTGGGGCCTAATTTGCAATTTGCATGCCGTCATTTCCACCACAGTCTATTGATCAAAGCAAGTCATCAACGCCAGCCCAGAATCAAGGTGAAGAAAAACAGACCTTGCCTCTTTATTGGAGGAGCAGCAAAGTATTGTGGCTGTTTTTGCCATCCTACCATCAGACTCACATTATTTCCAAAAGGCCTCTGGAGAAAATATCCAGGGAGATGGAAGAGAGGAAAAAAGTATTAACTAATAGACAACAGTTATTCCTTAGGGCCCAAAAGCTCTATCTCCTCAGTGGATCTTCTGTGGCTCCTGGAGCTGAATATCTAAAACCTTAACAATAATTACAGGGAAAACATGATGTATACTTCCAGTTTCACAGTAAATAGTACTCCCACTTGTTTTTATTATCACTTCATTTATATGCAAATTACATAGCAGTGTTTATTGGATTGTACATAATTTTAGTTCAGATCATTAATATGAGCTTCATATTTAATTTCTCAAATTAATGGCTTTGTTTTAAAAGTATAAGAAAAAATTGTAAAGCTTAATGAGAGACATATCTTCAGTGAAAGTTGAAAATAATAAACAAGGAACCCAAAAGTCATCTTCTCTCGTGGACAAGGATGAGGAATGCAGGAATGCATCCAATGAGGTATGAAAACCCTGGAGCTAGGAAGGAACCCAAGAACTCAGCTGGATATTTGCAATTTCTCTTCTGTGCTCAATCATTGAGTATTTATCATTTGCTATGAGCCAAGCATAGTTCTAGAAAGAATGAAGAGACTGTGACCCAGAAAGGTTACTGCTTGCTGTCCAGTCACACTTAATTGGGAAGAAGCAAAGTCAAGACTCCACACCAGGTATCCACACTCACTTTCACTTCCCCAAGTATCAGTTTCCTCATCTTTTTAAAGTGAGAATAATATTGTTAGTAAAAATAATAATTTTTATCTGAGCCCTTCCTGTCTGCATCTTAGTTACTTTCCTCATCACGAGAACAAAATATTCAACACCCACAACTTGAAAGAAAAGTTTATTTCTTTTTACAGTTTATAGAGTTTCAGTTCATAATCAGAGAGCTGATTATGAACAAGGCAGAATGGAATGGCACAGAAGCATGCCAGAGAGTTGTTCTCAGCATGGTCCAAGAAACAGAGAGAGAGTGAAGGCAGGAGCCCGGGAGCAACACAAATCTGTCCTGGGACTGGCCTCTTCCCCCAGAACCCACCTCCTAATGGCAAGTCCCAAAAGCCCCACAGAGCTCTTAGGGGACATCTAGATATAAACCATAAAAATGTGCTCGGGACTTGATTAGACATTTTAAACCTTCAGAAAAATTAGATTTTGATACTTCCTCTGTTTTTCAAGTGAAGAAACCAAAGCTTAAAGAAATTATAAATAATTTGTCTAAGAGCACATCACTGGTAGTTTGCAAACAGAGGTTTCAAACCAACTATAATAACCCACACACCACACTTTTAATGTTAGCAGAATAGTTGTGGGAAACTTCTTAAGACATGTATATTTCAAGTCAGGTATGGTGGTATATGTCTGTATTCCAGCAGGAGGATGACAAACTAAAAGCAACCCAGGTACCATAGTGAGATCTTTCCCTGCCCCCCAGAAAACAAAATGTATATTTTGGAACCTTGCACAATGTAGATGCTTCATGAATATTTGTTGAATTTAAAATCACTAAGGATATGGAAATTGGCCATTTGGGTAGCTAGCTAATGTCCAGAAACCTTTTTCAAACCAAGCCAATAGCACTCTGATATACTAAAGCTTCTAAGTGAGAACATTAACTGTCGATTGTGTAAGTGAGCCATTACATGGGAAACAAAATGGATAGCACATGGACCCAATTTGCTCATTTGCTAATTAGTATAAGGCCTATCCCAACAGATGTTAACCATAATTGAAGTGCTAGACCTTGGCTCTCAGGGCTATTTTCTTCCTGATAACTAAATAACTGTACAGGTGCTATGGAGCAGTGGTATCTGGGATGAAATCATGGAATCTAAGTAAGGGAAATATTCCAGGGGGAGCAGAATGAAGAACAGAATTGCATGGGTTGTGAGATTGCAAGTGGTAAGGTAGTTTGATGGGGAAACACTTAGCCAAAATGCTGACGCAAAAAGGGCTGAAATTTCTGAAGCAGGAGTAATATGGGAGGTTGGGGAAGGCAGATGGCCATACAGCTGGAATGCTAGTCTCTGTTTCCCTGGTGCTTTTTTTATTTTCTGTCATTCACAGCACAGTCTAGTATTATGATGATGATTATCATTATGTCTGTGCCTGGGTATATTTTGGGCATTATTGGCCCTATTTTTCTTTAGAAAAGAGTCAGTGTAACCATACATGTTAGGAGCTTGTCCTACAAAGTCAGCCTGGCCTATCTTTGCACTTTAGTTCAAGATCTGGGTACAGGGTAGATGCAATGCCTTTGACTACCTCTACTCTATAATGAAGATCTTGAAATTCATAAAGAAATTTTATTTTTAGCCTTTTAGTAATGATTCCCTAATTAAAAATTAGGTACTTTCTTGCCTGTTTAATTGCTAAAAAGGTTCTTGATTAAGAAACATGAGCATCAAATATTGGAGAGTTTTTCACCAATAGGTTGATCTAAATTTAGTTTCTTTACCTCTTCAGTCTAACACCTTGTTAATATCTTTTGGGCAGGAATGTTCCATGGTTCAGAGTTGATATTTTCCAGGTGAGGCAGAAAGTGGAATTATTTGATTCTGATTTGAGAAGTCATCTCAGTGAACGTACAGAGGTTAAGAATTAAATATGAAAGATAAATCATAATTACACAGTTACGAAATTAGCTAACCTAGAGAGTGATCAAGCTATAAAATTATGACTGTCCCGGGACATTAGTGCAGATGCCACACTGTGAAGTATGCTCTCGACTCCCATCACGTGATGCTCAGAATCAAGCACTGGATGATGGTCCAGTCGTATGTGACCCTGCACAGCAAGAGGGGCCCTGCTCTTCTCTGTAACAGAGATGACCCTGGAAGCTTGGAACCCCTATTATACTTAGAATCCTGTAACTATGACTCATGACCAGAGGAAAAATCTGGAAACTCCAATCAGCTAAAAGTTTCACCTGGCTGTTTGCACTGGCTTGGGGAATCGACCCTACAATCCAGATGAACTCCCAGCTTTAAAGAAATTTACTTAAAGAAGTAAAGATTTTAGTCCCCACTTTGAAAAGCTGAAGACTTCCTTCTGCTTTATCTGAATTCTTATCTAAAATATATACCTTCTATGGAAGAAAAGGAACATAAGTACACAATGAAGGGTAAGGTTTTAGGTATTCGTACTGCCCCCATAGTCCCCAATTTATTTAAGTCCACCTTTTCTTCAAGGCATCCAAGAAACCATTTAAAGAGAGAAATTATTATTGTGACATTTAAGAATTGCATCAATGTAATAGAAACATTCGCTGAGACTGAAATCAGCATAGAGGTCATAAGCCTGGCATGGAGCGATAGAGACTGGTCATCATCATTCAGAAGATTACTGTGTCCAGGTTTTATCTTTTCTTCCTAATGCAGCTCTCACAGGCCGTAGTAGAAAGTGCTCTACATGAGTGCCCAGGTCAACCCTTCAGACAACTGAGATTGCTTTTATCTGGGCCAACTCACTTTAATTTCTAATATAGCTGACTGGCGCTATCAAAATAAAATCTGAGATGTTCTCAGTGTGGAAAGTTTTGAAATAAAAAGTCTTTGGCAATAACAGGTGAAAAGCTCTGTGACAACATTTTGCTGTCTGAGCATATTTTAAGGGATCCCAAGTTTTCTACAAAGGGTATCAACAGTACAAGCATAAGATTATACTGGATTTCCCTGTGGTTCCATCAAATTAAAATAATCACTGCATTTTGGGTGTTTCATGTTTTGGTTGATATTCCTAGGAGACCTTTTTAAGGTATTCACAATGTAAGCCTGAGATTGTACACAGCTCAGCACGCAAAAAAGAATTGGACATTATGTGGTGTGGTGTGGTGTGGTGTGGTGTGGTGTGGTGTGGTGTGGTGTGAAAACATTCCTAGTCACTGACATGCCCCTCCCTTTTCCCCATCCTCAGGTAAGATCAGTCCAATTGAGCATATCTGCCTCTGTCCACTCCATCTGCCATGGTGGCATATATGGTCCCAGGGTCCTGGAGACCAGGCATCACTCTGAATCTATACAAGCCCTGGTGGTAGCTTCATCTGTGTGGCTTTCCTGGTAAATCATGGGACTATAAGATCTGTTTTTAAATCCTCCCCATTCCTTGTTCAATATCATTAATCCCATAGGGTTCTGGCAGATGGATTATTAGGACATGTGGTTCACAAGCAGTAGAATCTGATTCCAATTTAGTTTGGGAGCAAACTAAAGAAAAGAGGAGAAAACTAAAATCATAGTTAACAGAATATCAGAGAAGCTGAGAAACCAGGCCTTAGAAAGGGCAAGAGCAGAAGCTGTCTTAGTATCTACCTGTAGGAAATAATAGCTCTTTACAAAGACTTTCAGTGCAGGAACCAGCATTATGATCATTCAGCTCCTACCAATTCCACGTTTCCAAGAAAGAATTTTACTGCCCCATTCAATCAGCAGTAGGGGGCCTATAAAGACACAGGAAATGCAGGAGAAATATTTGCAGTGGGTGGTTTTAGCTTTGAACTATCAGATCACAGTTGACAGTACTAACACTCTTACCTCTTCTGGTTGTCTTCTAGTCATCAAGGAAGTTTTTTCCCATCACATTCTTTGGCTCCATCACTTGGATCGCAGTATTCTCTTACTTGATGGTCTGGTGGGCACACCAGGTAAGACTTAGACTGGCTTTTCTCTAAGCTTGGTTACCAAGTGATTCATCAGTGTGTTTGCTTTTTAAAACTGTCATGACAATACTCGATGTGTTCCAGATAAATTACACGTTAGAGAACTGAGCTTTCCTCAATCTCTGGATCTTGCCCTTCTCTCTAGGCCTTTCCTTGTAGCCTGGAATCACATCAGTGTAGCCACTGGAAAGCCATCTGTAGGAAGGCAAACCTAGCTGCTTCTTGCCCTCCATAGTCTAAACCCAAGCCAATCCAAGCTTGAGACAAGTATCATTTTGCCTGATTGATTGCATAAACTTTATGCTGGGCAAACCATTTAGCATGGCTCTCACCAGCCTTTCAGAACTGGTCTCAGGAAAGGACCTGGAAACAAAATGATGTTTTCCTAGAGCTTCAGTTTATTTAAATAATGATGTATTTCATTGTTACCACTTTAAACTCAAAATCAGTCATAAACCTTATGATCTTAGTAATGGTCATTGAAAAATATGAGGAATGAGATAACAGCAATAATGATTATTGATTGAATGTGTGCTACATGTTGAACAAATCATGTCTCTTTGTCTTTATAATCTCGTCATTAACCTTGTACATAGATTCAAATCCTATAAAAAAGGTACTACTGTTATCTAAATTCTCCAGATAAAGGAGTTTAAGCTTAAAATAGCCCATGATCACCAGAAGTAGTAAATAGCAGAACAGCAAAGTCTCTGCAACTCCAAATTCATACTTTTAATCTTTATTATGTAGTACATAAATTCCAAACTGCCCACTTTTAGCCTCTGTTTAATGTCATCCTTAAATTATTATACTTGCTAACCTAAGATGTAACAATTTGAAATAAGGAAGTATATACCAAGAACATATGTGGGTAGACTCTTCAAGAAATGTTGCTCAAATCATTCAATTTCCATATGGCAAAATAAACTAATTTAGATCTTTACCTCATTTCATGCTCAAAATTAACTTCAATTAAAATATTCCTAAATATAAAAGCTAAAATTATCAAACTTTCAGAAGAAAGCATAGAAAATCTATGTAACTATGTTTGTTCTTTATCGCTGGGGCAAAATACCTGAGATAATCAACTTAGAGAAAAGAAAGGTTTGTTTTGACTCACAGTTTCAGAGGTTTCGATCCAGGGTTATTTGGTCCCATCGCTTTGGGCCTGGGCGAACATCATGGTGGGGCAGATGTGGCAGAGCAGAACTGCACACCTTATAATGGCCAGGAGCAAAGAGAGAAAGAGGAGAAGCTAGGCCCTCAACATCCCCTTTGAGAGTACATCCCACTGACCTCGCTTCCTGCCTGTAGGCCCTGCCTCCAAAAGGTTCCCACCACCTTTTGATACCATCACCAGGCTGGGACCAAGCTTTCAGTGCATGACGCTTTGAGAAATATTCCAAATGCAAGCTATAACAATGGTGCTATTTGATAGGGCATGGGCCTATCTCTGTGCCCTTGATTTTTTCTTTGACTCTTCAAAACTCAACTGAATGACAGGTTTTTCAAGCAAGCTTTAGTTCTCCAGCAGTGACAGTGTCTCAATATCCACAGATTCATCAAGGGTTAAAGTGTAATGAAAATTCAACATTAGTCCTGTGCTTTCCCCACATTGTGACCTGGTCCCAGTGAACCAGCTTTTGTCTCCAGTGCCAGAACTCTGGTTGCTATTCTGATAACTTGGCAAAGGAGAATAATGACTGAGTTGTACTAGCTGATATTTATTGATTGGTTACTTTAAGTCTGACATTGCACTATTTGCTCTATAAATATCAGCACATGATATCATCAGGATAATTCTGAGTGAATATTATTATCCTCATTTCACAAATGGGGAAAACTGAAGGCAAGGGAAGGTGGTTCCCTTGTACTGGAGGGACAAGCTAGAAGTTGCACCAGGACTCCTATGTCCCAAACCAATTTTTAACTATACCACGTCTCTTCAATTTCTTCCTTTTTCTGTATAAGTGACATTTAAACCACAAATACAGATGATTCCTGTAAGAACTTAAATCATTAAAAATGTGTTAAATAAACTGGAACTTTCTTAGGATGGCAGTCATTTAGTTACCATCTTCACAGTGCTTGACGTTTCTTTCTGAATTTAACCAAGAAAATAAGACATTGAGGAGAAAGTTTTGTTCATATAGGGCATGCTAGTGCAAAACTCTTATATAACTTATTCAAGGAGAATCAGTGAAATGCCTGTTAGGGAAATTGCCTATGTGTGCAGACTGATTTGTTCATTTGGCAAGTAGGTGTTCAAATAAAGGACATCCCAGATACCAAGGGAAGGATCCTGATTGCATAGAACTTGCTCTCTGAGATCTCTGAATGTGTGTGATGTGAGGACAGGGTGATCTCATCAAGTCACCAGGCTCTGGACCAGATGTGACCATCAAAATAAAAATATCTCCTGTATTTATGGGCGAGTAGGAACAAGCATATAATTTATAAGTCAAAAAAAAGAGATTTAAGAATGTATTCTAGTCTCTAATTCCTTTATCCTTATATACTGTTTCAATAATTCCCCAAAACCTTTCAATAATTCCCCTTTGAAAACATAAACACTGGATGTTACCCAGTGGGCTGATGATAGAAACCAAAGCGAAAAAATTCTCTTAAAGATTTTCAGAACCTTAGTTCATAAATGTCAGAAAATATGTAAAGCTTTCTCAAGCCCCAGTAAGACAAACAAGTTACTGGAAAGAATGGAAGAGCTTTTCATGTAAGGCTAGACCGACTCTCTGAGCAGAACTCAATAGTCTGAAGAGGAAAATATGAAAAAGAAACATACCTGCTGCATCCCCCTTCGCTTTTCAATAATGATATGCTATTTATAAAGGGCTTTTTGTACAAATTATCATGAACATTTTGTAAGGTAGGTATTATCCTCACTTTGTAAATTAAAAACCTAGGATCAAAGACATTGTACAGGGCCAGAGATTTAGCTCAGTGGCATAAGCACCTGCCTGAGTTCGCTTCCTGGTACTGAAAAAAAAAAAAAACCACAAAGATATTGTACAGTGGAACTGTTATCAGTAGGTCAAGTTCTTAAGAACTACAAAAACCCAGACTTTGGGCCAAGTTTCCTGCTTCTATGGTTATTGTTTTTCTGCAGCTGTTTTGATGAGAGTTTTATATTATCAGACCTGAACGTTCCCAAAATCATATTCCCTATGCAAGTGGCAGAGGCAAATAGTGTTTAAGTGTGGTTCAGACAATAGGACACATTAAGGAAAATGTGGCCAAGGAGTCAGTTTCTAAACTGTGGTGGAAAACCGTAAACCAAAGAGTAGGTCTGTGCACAGGCTAGGCATCACTGTCAGGGACTGTCCCTAGGTTCAAAGGCCAGTTGACTTTTTTAACTCCAGAGAGCCCTATGCAGCTCTTCTTGTTTTTAATTTTAAATATCTATTTAATCCTCCAATGAACATTGCTAATTTCTTGGGTCTGAATGTCATAGAAATATGAATTTCTCTACGATTGTGATTTATTGATCTTTATTATCTCAGAATTGAGCAGAGGTGAGGAGGAGCTCATTAAAAATGGGTTGCACTGAAATGTTTGTGCTTCGATGGTTTTGTGGCTTCCACCACCCATGTTTGTCCCTGTCATGACATGTAGGTTGGAGAGACCATCGGCATCAGTGAAGAGATCATGGGTCTGACCATCTTGGCTGCTGGGACCTCCATCCCTGATCTTATTACCAGTGTCATAGTAGCCCGGAAGGGGCTGGGGGACATGGCAGTATCCAGCTCTGTTGGAAGTAACATTTTTGACATCACTGTAGGGTGAGTAGAGATAAATCTATAAAGCTGTACACCTGCTCTGTCACTGTCTTTATCTTCCCAGAGGCTGTAAGGTACAACCAGGACCTTTGAGCCTAAACTTAGCAATATCTAAATAATGTTGAAACTGGGAGTACCATTCAGTTTTACCACTCTGTTTTTCATTTTTAAAGAATTTAACAAAGAATAAGTCATCCCTATATAGTCAGAAACACATACCTGCATACAAAATATATGTTTTAGAAAATATTTTGTGGAAAATTCACTTATATATCTGTGCTTGCCACATGTTATGAGTATTCGATATTCAGGCCAGAATGAGATGCTCTGGTAGTGGATTCCCGGTACATTTTTCCATATTGTAATAAATATCCTGATCAGCTTTGGATGAGATTGGGGCTTTAAGGCAGAACCAAACAAACATAGGTCCAAAACAAATACAGTGTTCTTCCTTGGAAAACATTGGCAGTCTAGGAATTATCTATGCCACTAAAGATATACTAGGTGTTTTGAAAGTTGGAAGACGAGGTCTTTTCTTATTATTCAGTATGAACAATAACTGCAGTGAACCAGATTGAGAGGTATATTGTTATCTATTTCATCTAACTTGTCAAAAGTAAAAGGAGGCTGACAAATCATCCTGAATGTCAGTCCCCTGAGAAAGCAAGACATAGTGTGTTATCCTGTGACTCCCAAAAGAACAGGGCTTTTGCCAGTTGAGTTTGGAAACCCAATTAAATGGGTGTAGTTTCTCATTGAACATCTTAATATTGTTCTGTCTTATACCTATTCATTACTATATATATGTTTATAATTTCATATAACATCTACCGTATATATACTTTAAGCCATTTAGGCCACACAACAATCATATGAAGTGTATATTTCTCAGATATGGAACGTAAGGGGCACAGAATTCATAAAACTAGTCAATGAGGTAGAAGATTGGGATTTTAACAGTCTGTGTCACTAACCCCTCTATCTGTGTATAAAACCAACTCTGAGCGCCCACTGCATGAACCTCCTATAAGGCTGAAAGGTATCCTCTCCTCTCCTATTGGACGGCCTTCTTTTGCTGACCCCTCTCACTGAAGAGCCCTCCCTGCTTTTCTGCCTGGAAAACTCTGACCCATCTTTCCAGTGTCAGCACCAGTCCTGACATCTCTGATTTTTGAAAGTTTATCTGATTCCTTAAGTGATTTCCTGGGGCAGCTACACACTGTCGCCTCAGTGAACTAGCACGACATCCTTCTGAAGTGATGAGGTGTATCATCACAATGCACCTAACTCTCCCCCTGTCTGCCTCATCCCCTTCCCTTCCTTTCTGTCCCCTGCAGGCTCCCACTGCCCTGGCTCCTGTACACCATCATTCACAGATTTCAGCCCGTGGCTGTCAGCAGCAATGGCCTCTTCTGTGCCATTGTCCTCCTCTTCATCATGCTGCTGTTCGTTATCCTTTCCATTGCGCTCTGCAAATGGCGGATGAACAAAGTGCTGGGCTTCATCATGTTTGGCCTCTACTTTGTGTTTCTGGTGGTCAGCGTCCTCCTGGAAGACAGAATTCTTGTGTGCCCTGTCTCCATCTAGCAGAAAAGCCATATCTTGAACCAAGAGCATGGATGGCCCTCTCAACTCTGCGCACTAGGCTCTTTGACCGCTTGAGAAGCAGCAGCTGGCCAGAGCCCTGGGTGCCAACCATCCCTCTCGAGTGGACTGGAGGAGGGATGGATTCACCCTTGCCTGCTGAAATGACTCCACGCCAGACACAAAGGGAACCACCGATAGGGGCTTCTCTATTCACCACTGACAGGTACTCCTCGCTGGTCGGAGGTACATTTATTGTAATGATGCAAACAAGGACAGAATCTAAATATACACATATAAAGTATACATATTATAAATATACACACATGAACACACAAATCCTGCCTGTTCCTGTACTATGCCTCTCCTTCTACACCTGTAGATTAATATATAACTGTACACAAAGAAAGAAAAATATATATAAAATTATATATATATAAGTACAAATGCATCTTTTCAGGGATAGCTCTAGTATATTTATAGTACCTATTTTAAAATGGGCATCGACCTTCAGCCTTTAGTCTGGGCTTTACCTCATAAGTGCAAGAGGTGAAATGATACCAACAAGTGGAGGTGGCATTGCTGTGACTTTTGGCCTACCTTGGAATTTACTGAGATCCTGCCTAGTAAGGTGGATGGTTTAGGGAAACAGTTTGCAGGGAGGAGGGCTTAGCAGAGAGGCTAAAGGGCCCTGAGTTGAGCCTTCCAAAATGATCCCACAAACCAAACAAGGAAGACCATATGCCTACTCCTACTGGGGTGCACTGATGTGACCCTCTCACCAGGTATTTAGGACGGAGAGAGGTAAAACCCAGACTGGACTGACACTAGCTTGGGGGAGGGTGGTGACCAGGATTGGATTCGTTTCTTTTCTTTTTTTTTCTTTTCTTTTCTTAATTCCCCAGCATGCAAATAGAAAATATGACTGCAAACCAAATTAGTGCTTTTCTAGGACAGCAAAAGTATATAAACTGAACCTATATTGTTCCAGCACATATCCCATTAACATCAAAAGAAGGAGAGCAGTTTTTGCTGTGACATCCTTTAGATGTATTTTGAAGCTAAGGGCTCACATATAGTCAAACGCCTGCCAGAAGAGCCTAGATGTGTGATAGAAACACCATCCAGTAGAGGTGCTCAGCCAGACGTGCCACCTACTGGAAATGTAAAGGAGCAGCTCCAAAAAGCATTTTCCAGTGTGGTCAAAAAGGGCTTCAGTGTCTAAGAATCATTATTTCCAACAGATCTATATTAGCTGTAATCAATACTGCTTGGATGGAGACAGTTTAGAGATGTTTGCAAAGACAGTACACTTGGGCACCCCCAAAAGGTTTCTGAGTTCTGTTAAAGGGTTTAGTTAGAGCCCAAGAAAATTCTGTGTCTATCTGAGGCTTTTTCTGATTTTTAGAGTACACTGAAGACTATATTCCATAGCTTCATTATACTGGTTTCAAGCCAATTACCCCACTGTTTTGATTTCTTAATTTTGCTCAGCTTTTCATGGGACATGTGCCCTTCAAGTTCTATTTGACATTTTGTATTATTTCTCAGGTCTACTTCAGTGGAAAATAAAACTAGCAGGGTATGGGAGTGAACAAACTAAATCAATGAAAAATATGTAGAACCTTCATTTCTCTCAAGTAAACAGAGGATGGCCCATTACTGTGTGTCCACCATGCATCTAAGTGGGCACCTCCCACATGTGTACATACGGAGTTCACCATGTGTGTTCATGTCTCCAGTCGATTCTGCCTGCTCCGATTGTGTGATGAGCACATACTTCTTAATATAGGGAGACAGGAGGTAGGACTCACAGTTGAACACCAAGATGAGGTGACCAGAGCCCCAGACCAAGGTCATTCCTCCTTCCATGAACCCTCAGCTTCCTCTGCAGAGCACGGCGACAGCAGGAAGTGCCCATCCTAGCTCTTCACTGCAAAGGGGAGCCCCCGCCCCGAGAAAGCAAGAAATCAAGTTTCTGCCACTTAGGATGCTTGTTTTCAAGGCTCTGCAACTGTGCAAAGTTGGTTTTTCAGATGTGTGGGAGGAAGAAAACTGTGTCTCATTCATCAAAGGCAAGATTTAGTATTAAGTCAAGAATTTGTTATGTGTTTAGAGTAAGAGTGAGAAAGTGAACTTTTAGTTTTAAAACAAGTTGTTAAGCCTGTATATTACTTGAAGGGGAGCACAGATGGTTAATGTGTGAATCCTATTTTACTGACTGACTTGTGCTTTTTTAAAAGGTTCAAATAGGTGACTTTGGACACCAGAGGTTTGTTGTCACCTGTTCTGATTTCAGCAATTCCTGATCCTCCCCTGCCTGCTCACTCTTTTTCACTCATTCCTAGCTCACAGTGAAGACTCATGCAAACATTCAGCAAGAATTTTACTTGCCAAAGAGTTGGTAGCTGCATTTCATAGGTAGTGTTTGGTCTTTGATGAAAAGTTGCTTCAGAGAAGACAACATTTCCAAGCTGAGTTCCCACATGAATGCTGTGCAGTCAGCGTGGCCTGAGGAAGGAGTGTTCCCTGGCCGAATGGTGGACAGGCACCTTCCATGTATGTGGCGATGTGTTAGTGCAGAATCATTTACACTATTTCAAGAAACTTTCCACATCCAGGTTTTCATCTTTAAACTCTTTCCTGCATGCCTGTGTGTGTGAATACCAGATTTGTACAATATCAGCTACATCATCACCCTGTGAACCAGTCACATTCAGAACTCCAAAGCAAAGAGCATTAAGTTTGCCAAAGTCAAAGAAAAGAAAAGTTATGCACACCAACCAAAGGGAACATCTCTTCCTTGTCTCATAAGGTTGCTTGGTTCTATGCACATATGTATACAAACATACACATATGCACTTATGCATTCCCAGCTCCATAATATACATTTATAGCCTTAAGGAAATGGCCAGCCATATCCCTACTGGTGATCCAGAGGCAAAGAGTATGCAACAGAAAGCACAGAAGAAAAATTCAGACTGCAGATACCCTCTTTGCTTCTCTGGAGCACACACAAAATAATAGCAAAATTTTATACCAACATCTTACTAAATCTAAAATGAATGAGTTGCACCCTAATGGTTTCATTTACTCACAGCAAACCAAATAGATCTTGCTTTCTTGCTGTCACCTCTCTTGTACCCAGGCAGCCTTAGGATAGAAAACAATGCAAACCAAAAATGCTATAATAGAAACTTCTAAATTGCATCTAAGAATGCTCACAACATATCCAGCTGCCCTCCTGGCCTGACCAATACCTAATGAGCTGAAGCACCTAAAAGAGGCTGTTGTTTATCTTCCCAGGACCTAAGCTGAGTCAGGTGATGACTGATCAGGAAAGTCAAATACATGTGCAGGGACCAAAGGGTAGGGTTGCTTGTCAGCTTGGCAGATGCAACAGAACATCCTAAAATTTTGCCTGGAAGATTATCAAAAGACACAGGATAAATGCTTTGTAAGACTTCTAACAGGTGTCACCTGACAGAGGATGTTATAATTTATTTTATAGAGAAGACATGAATCAGGTGATTTGGAGCCCTTTCAGCAAAACACAGCTGCCTCGCTGATTAGACATTTGATCATGTCAATGAACATGCATTCCTGGGCAGAGAGGAAGCTGGCAAACTACCCGCTGTTGCTCACATCTTTTAAATGTCTCCATAACAGTGAGATAGGAGATGAGCTATAATGGAAAGCGCAGCATGCCTGGGCCAACTCACCAGAAAGTTGATCATGGAAAAGACAACTGGTAGACCTGCTTGCCAAACAGAGTTGAAGTTGGGACTTGGTTAAAATAATGCCCTGTTTAAATTACTGCGCTGAAGTATTTGAAATAGTTCTGATGGTCTATCTGCAAGCAGTTCACAAAATTTCAGTGTGCTTTCTTTCCCATATCTACATGCACAGGTACACATACACAAATTATGTGAATGTTAAGTTTCTTGTACCCAGATTGCTACTCCAGTAAGTAAGTGACCATATTATAGATAGCAGCACTGCTCCAGACAAAATAAAGTTGTTCTCAGAGTGATTTCTGAGGAAGCATGCTACAGAAGCTAATACTGATTCTTGCTAAGCCATATCTTACACATCACCTGGCTTAATATTTTTAAGATACACCCTCAAGCCCTACCTACATCCCCCTCAACACTATTTTCTTCAATTAGCCGATATGGTCTTAGCATTAAGAGTTGGTAAAAGGCAAGAAATAGGAAGAGAAGAGAAATTAACTGACTTTACCAGGATTTCTAAGAAACTGTCACATTCAAATGTATGTTTATGTCATTTAAAGTGATTAAAAATATCAGGTTTTTCTAAACAACTAAAAAAGCCTATATATAGTCCTAGATTTTATTTTAAATCTCACCTCTGGAGGCCTTGGGAAACAAAGGTAATCATGTCCCTTCCCTCCTGTCTATTTGAGTTAAGCTCCCTGCCTCTGTATTTTTGTGCTTCTTTTTTAATCTCATGTATTCATGTTATTTGAAATACATAGCAAACAAGCAAAGCAATAAAGGAAATATAGCCAACTCAACTCTATTATTTATTATTACAGCATTGCAATATTCCTTTCATTTCGCTAAGAGTTTCAGGGCTACGTAGGCTGTGGTACCAGCAGAAAAACTCATGCTAGCTATATATAGAATGAATGTGTTTTCCACATAATCCCCAAAGAAGGTGCACAGAACCCTTTTACACATCTCCTTCACCTACGAAAAATCAGCCTTTCTCACAACGTGTGAACTCCAGAGCATTCAGTCTGGCTAGTGAGTTTTCATTATGGGAAGATTAGGTGATAGGCAAATTCAAATGAGTTTATGGATAGTAATGGGCTGCGTGGAGCACTTTGTTACTCAGTCAGAGCACTTTTTACTACATGATTGACAGACTGGAAAACCAAAAAGAATTATTTGAAAATAGACAAATAACCTAAGTCTGATGGACTGCCTTGAGTACTCATAGGCTGCCACCAAAGATTCAATTCCATTAAGAGTTTGTCCAGTTTATCACCATAATCCAAAGAATAGCATCCTCTAGGAGAGAGATCCCAGCAGAGATGTTCACGGTATAACCAAGTTCCACGTTTAACAATCATCAGTGTTGGAAAAGTCTCTGACCAAGTTAACCCTGGGTCCTCCAGTTGAAGACTTAACCTATTTTTTCTTTTTGGAAGAAACTACATGTGAGCACTTTCCACTCTTTACCTTAGTATTTGGACCTCCTTTTATCCAAAGTATTTTTACATTTTTATTTTGAAGTCTTTTTTACCCTTTTAATTGTTTTTACAGTTCTTCTGTACTACTACACTTTAAATGCTCTACTGTGTTCTTAAATGATTGTACCTTATGACCGATGATGACACAAGCCTAAGTCTCAACAGTGCTGAATTGTAACCTTGAGCTTCAAGCTTCACTCCCTTGTTATGCACCTCTCTTGCTCTGACCTTTTAAAAAGTCACACTGTGCTGCTAATTCACATTTATCTTTGTTCTCTGTGGCCCCTGTATGAAGCCAGGTATCTCCCAGCCAGCCTGATACATTTGCATTGGTGTCTGCCTATTGGGAGCCCCTCTCCTCTTGGCCTTTTTAAGTCCCTTTTTCCAACCCCACTTCTACATTTGAAGTCTTAGCTGGACCAGTCCTTACCCTTCTGCAAGGTTCTCACCACCAACTTCCCACTTTACTTGAACTTGGAAAGACTGACAAGCATTTTCTCCTACTCCTCCTCGTTGATGTGAATATTGGAAAAAGCCAGACCTCTTCCTCCAATGTGTTTTGTGTAACTGACTGCTTCTTGGGGGGCAGTCTCTGCTGCTAAGATGTGGGCAGGATTCACCACCACAGTTAAGCAAGGGAGTCAGAATACCTTCAGAGGACCAGTCTTGCATACACCAGCAGGGGTTTGTTCTCCAGTGAGAAACATCAACACGGAGCACAGCATTATCCTGCAATACCGGTGAGGTCCAGCTCACAAAGTCTGCTTTCAAGGTTATTACCCCACATTCACAAAGAGCTCAGAATAGGAGACACACCACTTTAGATCATTCCAACAAGCCGGGCTTATGCTCACCTCCATTGATTTACCAAAAGGAATTAATATTTTCATTTCAAATAGAAAGTCAGGGAAGGCAAGTTCCTTCTTATCTACTAGTACTGCGGTGTGTTCACTTCCTCATGTGGAAAGTGGGACAGAAGCTGTAAGGAGGCTGATTAGTGTCCTAGCCTAAGAAAATCATCTACGGCTCCCCATAAAGGCAGAAATTTTCTCTTGCTGTCTTGCATGTTGGGTTGCATATTTCTTCAAAACAGATCTATAAGTAACTGAAGATTTGGGTACTAATGGTTCTGTAAAACACTCAGCTAACCAAAAGAGAAAACTAATTTTTTAAATAATGTCAGACAAAAAATGAGGAAAAAGGTAATATAAGTCTGAGTGCTTGAATAAAATCATTTCAAGGATGAAATTGCATGTGTGAATTAAGGGTAGATAACTTTGCCATTTAATTAAATGAATCTCCAGTGCTCATCAGAATAAAACTGAAAGACAATGGATGCCTTTTGGGTTTTTTAATTTTTTAATATTGCACTTTATAGTACTTCATAAGAGACAATTGTCTTAATTAAAGCCATAAAATACCAATAATACATATATTCAGGGCTTCTGAATATAGAAACTCAATAAGCAGTCCATGAGTCATTCCTGTTTTGTATTGTTTGTTGTAAATTGGAGTTTATCTGTTCTATTTTTATTACCTATGATTATTGTTCTAGACAATCCTAATCTACTAACAAATTTCAGATGTATACTTTAATAAAGCTGTTTGAAAAACTGATGAAATTATTGATTTCACAAAAGCATTCTTCATTTTCAGAATAGGTTGTTATACACTTCCTTTAAATAGCAAATTCTAATACTACATTGAAAAATATTTCCTTTTTAAAAATTAACTTTTTCAGGAACATTTGTTATGCAAAGCAAAGTTCACCCATATGGAAATGAAATGGATAATTAGCAAACATACCTGGGAAATTTAAAATGTGCTTGAGTTTTTATGTAAATACAGGATAAATCTAAGAAGTTCCCTTATAAAAATGGCAAATAGAGATGAAACTCATCAGTAATTTCTTATGACTAAATTAGTAACCTTTTCTGGGAGGACATGAAAAACATCAGATTTCATAATGCATTGGGTGACTTTTTTCCTACTAAAATACACAATTCCTGGTGTATTATGGTGTATTCCTGGTGTAGTATGGTGAACCAGGAATTGTGTATTTGTACACATACATACATAGATGTCCATACAAATGAAAACTTCAATGTTTTACTTCACCATAACTTTTTATATAATTTGAATGAAAGCTAATAATATATTTTTAAAAGCTAAATAATATATAAAAGCACTTAATAACCTAGAAAATCTACCACAGCTAGGTACCAAAATTATTTACATAGAATATGTACATGTATTAAATGGAACAACCCTACCGATTTTATGCTTCAGGAGCCAATTGCCCTGAAGAAAGGGTTCTGGACACAGAGCCAGTAGTGTCCCTTTACCAGGAGCTGTTTCATGGCCTGAAGAGTTTCTACAGAGGGCAAAGATTGTCCGGAAGAGGGAGTTCTGTTGGCTTGTGACTCTGCAGACACACGCACAGAGTCGTTCATTATACCTTGTATTTAGTTTTGACCTCTCACCTGCTTCAGTTTGGGGGAAAAAAAATAAATGAAACCCACAAGCAAAAGTTCCCATCTTCAAACTGTGGACTCAAAAAGTGTTGAATCAAAACTAATGATAGCCAACACCACCCTCCTGGTTTAATAAAGTTGCTGCTAGCACTAAAGGAAAGATAAATTATGCTTTTGTTAATTGAATATTTTTAAATGGAAAAACAAATGTTATCAACATTGATTCCAACATGGATATTTGCCCTATCACATGAGAACTGATTTTTGGACTGGTTATGTTAAAACTATCAGTGCATTCAGAATTCTCTCTTCTAGCTATTTTGAGGTACACTATCTTCACCCTACCATACAATAGAACTTATTACCCTATTTAATCACTACACAATATATACATAACTTCATGCTGTATTTCATTCACATTTACATTATTGTGTATCAATAAAAGAATAAAAATAAACTTAAAACATTTTTTCAATATTTGGAAAAGATTTTAAAACCTATTAGAGTGCCATTTTTGTAAAGGATCTTTTTAGGGAAAGACATGGTCTCATGCTTCCTTTGTTTGCCTCCATTTTAAAGACTTTAATCCCTGTCTTTACCACTTTAAAAATCCAGTGGGTGAACTCCTCAATGACTTTTGTCATCTTGTGTGTGTGTTGCTTATGAGCAATGTTCACTGGATGGCAAGACCTGTGATGATACTGTGTCAGTGTATTCTCTGTGAATATGTTTGTACATACCTGAAAGCTCTATTTACTTGTACATAGGTGTTTGGAGGAATGTATCTCTGTCACAAAGAAAAGGCTTTTTCTTCCTGTCACGCCGTCTACTTCTTCGTGCTTCTACTACTGATAATCAACTTATAGAATATCACTTTATGTAGCTAAGTCTCTTTGGTGTGAAAAATAAGAGTAATAAAATTATTGACAAAATAAGTGTCATTTTGTTTGGGGGAATAATCCTTTCCTGAAGCTTATCAGGACATTCAAGGTCTCAAAAAATTCATGCACAATGGTACAAATTTTATTACAAGGATTCAAGATGACAAAGGGGCACACAGGAGTTACTGTTAATTACAACTACAATTTACTGTTGTAATATGAGCTTTTAAATCTGTAGTAACCTTACACCCTGAGAGGTCTATCCAAAGCAATTGAATTTCAATGAATTAAATATATTGAGTATAAATTCAAAATAGTGTTAGCTAAGACTTGAAGATCAACACAAAACCTTGTTATCAATGTGATATTTTTATATAAAAATAAGGATTCACGATTATTTTTTTCTTTGATTATACTCAATAAACTGATAAGTTTAAAAGCTTAAATTCTAAGCTGAGTGTGGTGGTACACACTTACAATTCTAGCATTCAGGAGGCTGAAGTAGGAAGATTTCTACAAGTTCAAGGCAATCTGGGCTGCGCAGTGAGTTCAAGGCCAGCCTGTGCTACATAGTAAGACCCTATCTCAAATAAACAAATAAAAGTCTATCTAGTTAAGTCATTTATTAGGTAATTAAATTCCCTGGGGCATTTTTTAAATTTTACATGTTTAACACACCTAATTGTCTAAAATAGTCCTAATCTGACAAAATTACAAGCCTAAAACACAAAATCTTCTTACATACATAAATATCTCCAGTTAATAAATAAAAATTCAAATGAAATGTAGTAAACCGAGTTATCAACATTTTAATACTATATTAAAACAATACCAATCTACAATATCTTCAAAATTAGTGAGTCAAATATAAAATTGCACATCAAAATATAATAAGATATACATATAACCAATTTTCTTTAAAACACTTTAAAATAAAAATATACATTAAAAAATCTCAATGTTTAAAAAACTGATTCCTAATGAATTTGATTTACTTCATTCTCTACATTTCTATAACATCTTCCTGGGCTTTTAAAATCACCCAACTGATGGGCAGATTTACCACCTTGGGCAGATAAAATGACTGAGGCTGAATCACAAATGATTATTTACCAGTTAGAAAACCCAGCCCCAGGACATGACACAGGGAATTCTGCTGGAGCACAGGTGAGAAGGTAGTACTCATGAGTCAAACTCTGTCCCATGCCCATGGAGGACTCCTCCCTTGCCAAAACCACAACTATCCTCTGCAGTAAAATTTTGCAATCCAGGGGACATCACTGCTATGACCATCTCTGTTTTATCCACTGAAATCTTTTTTCAAAATTTTGTCCCTCTGTATAAGTAAATGAATTTTGTGGCCCTATTGAGTTATAAGTTTTATTTTATACCACTTGACTGTATCCAAGTAACCTCTTTGTGGCCTTGTTGGATTCTTTATTCTACTCATAAGTTTCTTATTGGTTTCAACCACAGTTCCAATCATGGTGCCGACATGCTGCTAAGTGCTTTGGGTGCATCAATTCATTTAATCTACATCACAGTTCTGAGTTGAGTGCCGCCATTATTACTATTTTATAAATAAAAATGTGGGGCCCAAAGACATGCTCAAGGTCACACAATTAGCACTGCAACTGAAACATGAGACTAAGTCCTTCTGCCACCCAAGTTTACATCTCTTAATCATTGGTTTCTGCTTCTCCTCACTCCACTAGCTATAATCATCCCCAAGTCCAGGACTGTAAAACTCACAGAAATTAGAATAAGGACACCAAAGTCAATCAACTACCTTCCCTCCTTTCTTGGCCTTCCTTAAACTGTGTGTCTTTTGTTGGTGTTGATTATTTTTAACATATTTCTTGTCCTGTTTTTTAAAATGGGTTGCCATTCAAATGATCCTTCTTTGTCTCCCAAGTATTGGGATAATAAGTGTGTGCAATGGCAACTACTCTAAACTCGCATTTTTCAGTAACAGGTAAGTGCAACCAACTGCATTTCATTGAGTGAACTTGGTACTTTCATAACAGAGTTTTTCAACCTTGGCACTACTGATATTTTGGCCTCAAAAATTATTTGGTGATGGATATTGTCCTGTGCATTGTATCATAGTGTACCACTGTCCATTAGGCATTGGTTTCAACAAAATAAATACATCTGCAGATATTACCAAATGTTCCCTGGGAATAGCGTAGGGGTGAGGCAAAATTGCTCTCAATTAACCAGTACAGTTCTATCAGATACAATTCAGTCAGTTATCTGTGGGCCTTCACAGCCCACTCAGACATACCTTAGGCTTTAGCCAATGTGTGCTTTGCAGCTCCTGTTATAATCTTGTCAAATATTCTGTAACAAAAAAATTTGTGTGTCAGTTTTTGCATTAATGAGACACAATACCTGATCATAACTAAAGGAGGAAAGTTTCAATTTGGCTCACAGTTTCAGGAGATTCAGTGCATAATTGTCAGACTCAAAGGAAGAAACCTAATGATGGAAGGGCATGGCAGAGCAAAGCCACTGTGGTTCACAGTGGTTGAGAAGCAGAGCCAAGGAACAACCAGAGAGGAACAGGTGAGGGGCCATGTGTAGTATCCAAAGCCAAGCCTCCGTGACCCACCCCAACACATATAAGAGCCTTTACTAATCCAATAGGCTTTTCTTAACCCAATGAATTTGACACGTCAAGATTAACAGTCACAATCCACAGTTTGTCAACATCACACCCAAACACACGTTAAACCATACTTAATCTCCAAATAAAGTTAATAGCAAGTTTTAAGACAATTATCCGAAGTGCAAAAAAGAAACACAATAATCCTATCCCCCAAAGTCTCAACAGTTCTACCCCTTCTCAAAAACTGAAGTCCAAATCTCTTGTGAGACTCAAGGCAAACTGTTAGCTGTAAAAATAAAACAAATTACATAATCCCAAGGTAAAGGATAAACACTGTCATTCCAAAAGTGAGAAATAGAAAGATAGAAAAAAATTAGACCAAAGAGTGAAGTCCAGCAGGACAAATATGAAGTCCAGCAGAACAAATATTAATGTCACACCATCCCAGCACTGAGGGTACATGATTGCAGTCCTCACCCAGAGGATACCACATGACCTGGGGATCGAAAAGCTAAGCTAGGGCTACACATGATGCTGCACATCTCTAACCCCAGGCACTCCGGAGGCTAATGCAGAAGGATCGCAAGCATAGACTCAAGGTAAAGTAACATAATGAAATCCTGTCTCGAAATAAAACAAAAATGTAGCTTAGTGTTAAAGAATTTGTCTAGCATGCATGAAGCCCTGGGTTCCAACCAGCACCACAGAAAAATGGCGTAGGCTGGTCAGTAAAAACATATGAAGGGAAATTATATTTTGGTCTAAGTGTCAGGCTCAGCCAAGACATTAAGTTTCTGGGGGCTGGGGATTTAGCTCAGCGGCATAAGCACCTGCCTTGCAAGCAGGCAGTCGTGAGTTCGATCCCTGGTACCGATAAAAATGAAAAAGACAAAAAAAAAAAAAGAAATTAAGTTTCTGAAGTGTAACAAAGTCTGCAGAATTTCCACTTCTTTGGGAGGTTTTGACAATCTATCTACACATACTAATTACATAATGAAATCCAAAACTACTGCTTAGTCAACCTTCTCTTTAGGGCCAGCTTGCACATTAACTACATCCTATATATTTCTACATAAACAAACCGTCCACACTGAAAGCCTAGAGTTAGCAAACAGTGGATAAATTCTGCCATCTGTGCTCCTGTATCCACAGCAGACATCCACAATCTATCACACTCTACTATGCTTTCAAATATCCACGACCAAGGGCCAGAGATTTAGCTCAGTGGCATAAGTGCCTACCTGGCAAGCATGAGGTCACACCACTATCACACAGTTATAGTGGCATCTAAGGAAAAACCTCTAATTTCCCAGCCTCACTCAGTGATGGTGAGCCATTTAGAGCTTTCAATAACAACAAATAGCCAGCTTTGGCACCCATGCTATAGGTTCAGCACTGCTGCCCAAGCCTAATTTATACATGAGAAAAATGGAAACTAAATAGGCAGTTTCATTTTCCTGAGGTCACACAACTAATGAGTAGAACTAGATATTTGGGAATAGCATTTGTCACAAGAGCCAAAACGCACCTGAGGTACTTTACATGTTGCCATGAGTATTTTACACACTCAAACATGGGTTTTAGGATTAAGGAATTACCAAACTAGAGTAACTAGAAGGCATTTTCTCATTTACAAGACTTAAGAGTTATGTCATTAGTTACGGTACAGTCAGACAGTGAATAATAGCAGGGTCTAATTAGAATTGTGTGGAGATTTGTTAAAAGCTTTTGCTTCTGAGGTTTAATAACAGAATTTCCAATAAGTAATGACCTCAGGGACCAAAAAATGTACAGTCTTGCCAAAATTTGTTTACAAACCTGATGGAAAGTGTGCAAATAGCTCTGCCTGCTGCCTGCAGCTAATGACCCACGGCCTTGAAACAGAATCAGGTCAGGGAATGCAAACATTCTGACTTTCCAGTTTCTTTCCAGGAGCCTATTGAATCTATTCTCAATCATGGCTATGGTTTCACAGGACCTCAGAGAAAAAGAAAAAGAAGAAATTTTTTCCACGTGGAAAATAGTACTTTTCATTACCATTGGCCTATTCAGGTGTGGTCTTTAGAAGAGATAGGAGGTAGAGGGAAGGCCCTGTATGTTCTCAGCATTCTCAGATTTCCCTGCTATCTCCCAACCATTGATTAGAATTTCATTTAATGCTTTATCTCTCCAGCTCAACAACTTCCAATCAAGAGGTTAAACCTAAAGGACAAATCAGAAACATCCGGAGGCCTTTTAAAACTACATCTTTAAAACCACGTCCTGCCATTGCCACTTGCCCTTCCAACCTTATCAGTGTGATCTCCCAGGTGAGAGTCATAGACAGCTCTATGAAGGGGAAAGGCTATAACCCACAGAAGTGCCAAATGGAAAAAGAAGATTAAGACTCTTGTTAACTAAACTCCTTCCGGCAGAAATTGTAACTTGGCCTAGAAAGAGTCTG